TTTTTTCCGTTTGGTGAACACCACACACAATTTGGATCATTTGCAAAACCTCGTTGATTTCGGAGAGGTATGACCGTAAACCATAAAAAAGTTTGAAATGGGGCCATACCAAAGTTTTATTTTCAATAGCTACCATGGTCAAAAAATCACTGATGCCCAGGGTGTTTGGGGATAGGAATCAAATCCAATAATAGGCCCATGATGGGGTGGATGATCACGACCCATGTGCATATACAATATGTAAAGACAAGGGATCCAAACGAAAGGGTTGATTCTCTGTGGTAAGGGGCTATCATGAGGAATTTTGTTTGGAACCTTCAGGGGGCATAATCATATCAAAGATTTTGGGATAACACTTTCCCCAAATATTGACATTTTGTGGAACCTACTGTGAATCTTACTGAAAGTAAATATTTTGAGTTTGCGCTCTCGTCCGTGCCGTCCCGGTGACTAAGTTGCCAGCTGCTGGCAAGTGTACTATCTTGAAGATGTAATTTCATATCCATCTATTGACAGTACGCACGTGCACTAGCCACACTGGAGTCACTAGAGCCATGGCTGTTCCCACAACAAATCACGTGGGGTCGCTAAGCGTGAATTAATTTCAAATTTTACTTTTTGTATCAACTCTGGTTTTTCCATAGTGATGGCTTCGCTGCTGACGGCTGATCTCATAGTGGCCATGGTCCAGCTGCAGGCGGGTCCTGCGGTCTCGTGTGTGCAGCTTAATGGCTTAATGGTATCAGGTGGATGCCAACAACACCTTCTGTGATTCACAAGTCTGGGTTCGCAGCATTATTGCTTTAGGTGTCCATCAAATCCAAAACCTGCCATGGTAAGGACTGTTGTTCGCAACGGTGTCACCCGAAAGCCATGGGGACAGGGAAGGGCTGCTCAGCAAAGATATCAACGAAACCGCACTGCCTTTGATGTTGCCCAGCTTATCAAAGCTCGCATGGATGTTGACCAGGTCCAAATGACTGGTCAACTGTTTCCCCGGGGCTCTATGAAAAAACTGGCCAACAAAGAGCTCCTTGATTGGGTTCATACATTCAATGGCCGGGTGTGGACCAAGCCGATGTTGAAGCAAATTATTCGCGTTTTGCTACGAACCATTGATGTCCCAATGGACCCCTCAAAGACATTTGGCAATTTCGTCAACCAGCAAAGCAAACGGCTTGGCTATTTGATACGGCAAGCAAAGCGACTGAAGGCACGTGGTTTTGAAAACATATAGCTGACCCAAATTCAATTATATCGGGGTGCATGTTTGGAATAATCCTGCCGTGAACGGTGCGTCCCAGCTGGCTCAAAAACAGACCTCGCACCCCTGAAGGAGCTGGCATTAGAGGACACGCTGGGCTATGCAATTCACTGGATGACTGAACGCCAACTAATAAATTTTCTAAACGTTGACGAATGAAAAATCAGAATTCAAGACCATTTCATTTTTCTGAACGAGTTGATTCTCATCCCTCATTGCCGTCCCAGATCTCCTTCCATGCTGTATGCTCGCAGGACTGCGCCATGGACCATCTCGAAACGCAGCCATGGGTCAGCGACCCAACACATTCCTCAGATTGGCATTGCATGAGTTTTTGAAATGACATATCAGGAAATCAAAAAATCACAGCCTCAGGAATCTGAGACCAATTGGGCTCCACACTCAGTCATGTTCCGAAATGTTTGCAATTTCAGAAATTGAAGGATCATTTTGATGATTTCACATCTTAAATGTCATATTTTACATCAACGTTCTGTGCATTTCAGTCTGAAGACCGAAACATGTTTTCCATCTAGGCCAACGCGTGTGGACCAGGTGGATGGGAGGAACGAGCTTTTGTTCTCTCTCTCTCTCTGTGTTTGCACGCTGAACTTCCAAAAAAAACATGTTAGTATATGCCTGCGAGCTTGCAAACGAGGATACATGGGAAGATACCCAACAAGAACACGACACCGGTGCTGAGGATTGGGTTGTCTCATAGTTTGTTGCCTCAATTATTTTTGCAAGTGTTTCAGGTCATTCGTCGGCTGATAATTTCAAACCAGTGTCACTTCCAGGACGATGCCGAAGCCCTGCCTGAAGAGGATGGGGGTTGATTTTTATGCTGATGTCTTTGTCTGTTTCATTGGGATGGTTCATATGTCAAAAACGTGTTGCTTGCAGGGTCACTGCAGCAAAGACGATCCTACCCATGAGGACTCCCTATAGTAGGTGTTCTATCTTGTAGTTTCTCGGAGGCTTGTTGTTTGTTGCTATGACTTTCTTTCAGGAGCACTTGGACGATCAGGGGACTGGAGAGATGGAGGACTGAATTTGTTATGTTTAGTTTAGTTGGTACTATCTATAAGGGCCCTATGGTAGTTTAGACACTGATGGGTGATGTGTTTCATATCGCGTATTTTGGTATTGATGCTGAATTTTTTCTCAAACTTGAATGTGAGTAAACGGCGATGCTGCATGTGTTTGGCCATGTCTGGGCGTCGAAATTCTGTTGCAGGACTGGTTGCATGAATTTGGCAGCCCAATGCAGGACAGCGTTTTCTGTGTCCACTTCCCTTCAACACATGTTCTGTAGTAGGTGGCTGCTGGGTACTGGCCCATCTCCTAGCTGCCTTTACATATTCTTGCATGCTAGGACGCTGGTGACGACATTCCGGCTGACGAGGCTATCTTCAGTGTATATTTCTATATATATATATATTTATATCTTTACCCATGCATATAAGCTTCATAAATACATTTATATATATATATTTATTTGATGTCTATGTAAACATTGGGTGGTTGGATAGATTGATAGGAAAAAAAGATTGATACACATATATGTCCACATAGGTTGTGGCGTTGTTTGCCCGATGTGATTCCAACAGGTTTTTGGGATGCAGTGGGTAGGACCGGTTTGATGAAGAAGAGCAGGAATATGAGTTTGAGGCTGGGTAGCTAGTGCATGCAGCGCGCATTTTTATTTCAGCTGGTGTGTCGCTTCAGGCCCTGGCCGAAGACAGTCATGAGGGGAAGGTCTTGTCCTCACAGTGTTCCTGTTCTTCCTTGGTGCTGTTGTCCCGAATTCTGGGGCTAAGGTTGGTTTGAAGGAATTCCTTAAGTGCTTCGGTGAGGGCGAAGCTGATCCTGAGTTTCAGGCTTACTGATTTTGTTGCTAGTTCGCATGTTTGCTGCAAGTACGCACGGGTTTTCTTGTACATATTACTCTTGCAGGCCTTGTTTGGCGGTGGTGGTTCCGATGTCTGGGATGACGATGAATGGGCAGTCGGGATCCCAAAGCGGGTAAGTCGCATTTTTCTGTCTTCAAAAAACGAAAAGCCATTGAACTACAGTGCTATTGATTGAGGATTGGGACCCTACCAGTGACTGGGATGACTTTCCAACGTTGCAGGCTAGGGCAATTTGTGCAAAGTATATTTGATGTTAGTTTATCTTTACTTCCATGCTTCTGGATGCATTCAGGATTGGAAGCTGTGGCCAGCACATGCCTCAATTTCGTATTAATTTCTGACACATGCGAAACCATCCAAACATCTTTGTCCAAAGTTCAAAGTTTCTTTGTACCTGCATGTGCTTGTATTATGCTTTTGTGGTACTAGCCGAACAAAAAATAGATGGAGCTTTTGATCTTAGGATGACACTCCGTGGCAGTTCTTCGACAATGAAAGCCAGGCACATATATGAACAATTGCGCTGACTTAGTGTGGCTTATAGTTTCTCACCTATACTTTTGCCAGTGTGCTGTGTGTGTGTGTGAGAGTGAGGGTTCTTGCCATATGTGCATGCAGGAGTACTGCACCACCAGCCCAGAGCAGAACAAGGCGATGAAATCGATGATGAAGCAGCTGATCTACGAGGGTGTGGTTTCGGAGACCGAATGGCCACGACTCAGAGAGAAGTGGTTCAAGGATCATTTTTTTGCTGTCATTTGATCTGGCATCAGGAAATTTATGTTCAACTTACTTGCGTTGTTCAACTTACTTGCATGCATCCCGTGCCAAGCTGTCGTTGCAGGAGGATGGATGCTACCCCAAGACCAACAACAAGACGAACAAGGACCAACATTTTTTCTCACCTAATCCGATAGTAACTTTGCGAACTCAACTTTTCCAGTTTACAGCTGCTTAGCCATATGTTTCATCTTTTTGCGTTCAATGTACTGATGAGGAAGTTTCAACTCACTTGCAAGCATCAGGGATCCTGTGCGTAACTTTGGATGCAGGACGTATGGTACGGAGAAACCAAGGACAAGCAGAAGAAGGACCAACATTTTTTGCCACCTTGTTTCCATTAGCTTGTGGGCTTATCACAGTTACTTTGCCATATGCTTCATCGTCCAGCATGAAAAAAGGTTCAACTTACTTGCAAGCATCCTGGATCCTGTGCAAACTTTTGGTGCAGGACGCACGACACAGAGAAACCGATAGCGAGAACAACCAGAAGGAGGACCAACATACTCTGCCACCTCATTTTCATTGGTTCAAGGGCTGTTTGATTTTTTCTTCAGTTTACATATGCTTGCGCGTCCAGCATTCAATTTTCTTATGACAAATCTTCAACTTACTTGTCCTAGATCCTGCGCAAACTTTTGGTGCAGGATTCATGCCATGGAGAAACCAAGAGTGAGAACAACCAGAAGGACCGGTATATACATATACATATACATATACATATATATATATATGTGTGTATATATACATATTTGGTACCATCTCGTTTTCATTAGCTTGAGGATTTTTCAGTTTTTCTAGTTTCCTATTGCTTTGCCACATCCTTGATCTTTTACCTGCACCCTGGCCTCGCAATGATCTTGTGATTTTCTGAAGGATCTTGCTGTCATCGACGATGAGGTGATGAACGACCGATGTTCCAAGGACCACCGGCTGGCTTGTGAACTTATGGAATGGGAGAAGGATGCATATGATGGTGCCCCAACCTCAGCTCACGCGCCATGCTATGCACCTCAGCCTGATGCCACCCCTTGTCGTTTGGTGCATCAATTCCCAGACTTGGATGCCTTGGATACTCCACCTGCAATTCCAAACCCTTTGAAAAAAACCCAGCTGGCGGCTGCAAAGCGTTTGGAAACGGAAATGAAGGCCGCTGGAAACAAGCCAAAGAAGACAAAGAAGACGGAGAAAAAAACTAAGAAGAATGCAGCAGCCAAAGCCAAGAAAGATAAGAAAGAGAAACAGGAGAAGAAACCCAGAAAGCCGAACCAGGGGCCTTTGACCGAAGTCATGAAGGAGTACATCAAGGGTCGACGTCAGGCTGATGGCTTGTCATACAGGGATGCCTTGAAAGCATGGGGTACGTCAAGTGAGCGTGCTGAAATCGTGAACACCATGTCCTACTCTGAGCAAAAGCGCCGTAGGTACAGTTAGATATGTTATCTACAGGGTTGGATGCGCTTTGGGGCCATTAAGGGTTCACGGGTTCATGCTTGTGGATGGTTTTCATATTCTGTTTCAATTCTTTTGGTTTATGTTGGATGCCCAGGGAACTGAAAGTGACCCATACATGGCCATGGGTTTGAGCTGGAATGTTTTCCAACATGGCTCAGCCACCAGTGCTGTGCCTGCTGTGGGCCTCTACAATCTTAGTCTTAGGATTTAGGGTTTGCGAGAATGAGGCTGGGCCATGCGTGATTTTATAGTTCTGAATTAGGCGGTTCTCTTTCCCCTATTAAGATGTCAGCTTTGGTGGCATTTTGTAGTATCAACGACTTTGCCCGAACATATTCTCTGGAGGGACAACCCTTGGGTTTTGGCATAGCACAGGTCCGAAAGGTCTTGTGAGGCCAATGAGGTTGCAAAGCAACAAGCGCAGCTGTCAGAACAACAATCGAAGTGGCACAAAAATCATGCTTCAGCCGCTGAGTCTTTCTGTGAAAGTCACATGTTCACAAACTTAGGTGTTTGTTGTACTTGGCATGCTTGCTCGGCTGCAGGCCTTTGGGGATACAAATGGTTGTGGAGTGGTGCGCCCACCCCATTCCTTGCCAATGCTGCTTTGTTCGCTCAACCTACTGAGTACTTGCAGTGAGTGCTTGCATTTCCAGCTAAGTTTTTTGAATTACAAACCCAGGGCCATTTTCAAGGTCAGCTGGTTAGTAGGTGGCTTGCCTGCCTTGTGAGCCATGCGGTTTGCAGAGCTTGCGACGCTTGTTGTTGTGCTTCTCCGCGCTTTTGGGGAAGTGACGGAGGAGACCAGTACCCATTTGCAGGAGGACTGTGCTGGAGTTGGCAATATTGCCTGCGCCACTCGACTGTTTCATCTTCAAGCTGCCCGTCGAGATGTGGCTTGCTTGCAAAACTTTTCAGGGTGCTTCAGAAAATTAGTCTGTGGTAGGCATGTGCTGTTGAAACTTTGTGGCCAAGCTAGTGAAAAATGTACATCCATGTGCAATGTTACACTTGGCATCTACTAGGTGAAATACAATCCGCTGATGGATCTTTTGACTACATGCGGTTTCCTCGCGGCTCTGCAGGGGGTGCCTGGCAACCAAATCTGGAATGTGTTTTTTTTCATTCATTGTGTTCACTTGGGTTTTTGGGATGTCTAATCTTCCAACTTGTTATTGCTGGGGCTTGGGTTGGTGACACTATGCATGGCGCTTGTGCGCAGGTACGCACTCTCCGAAAGGGGTGTCTTTGGTGGGTGGCACCACCATGTTCCACATGGATTTATCTAGCTCGTGGCAGTACCGGTCGTACCTTTACAAGGCCAAGAGGTGCCTGACGAATTTATCAATTGTACCGCTGTGGGATGCTGTGGGTGTATTATCTTGCATGATTATATATTTATATGACATGTATTTATGCTGATGTTGATTTACTGTGTGGTTAAGCATGACTGTGTGAATGATACTGTGTGTGTAAGAAAAATATATGAATATGTGCATATGCACATACCTCAAAAAATGCAAACATTTAGGGAGAGCACACACACAAATAATATATACACATTTTTTGTTTGCACACATATATCTGTATATTTATTTGCTTAATTATATATATATATATTTATATATTTATGCACTCAACATTGTATAACCTATCCGTGGATCACTGCTTCTCTCTCTCTCTCTTTTTCATTGCCAGGTTCGAAAAGGTATCGAAATGTGCGTCGAGCCAATAGGCTGATTCGCCGTATGATTTACTTGCTGCTTGGCCGCATTCGATCTGAAACCTGGAACAGCTTGTGCCAAAAAAATAGATTTTGTTCAACGTTTTTTATCGACACCCAAGGTGCGAATATTGCCACAAAAAAGGACTCCACTACTGCATAGAAAATCCAATGTCCAGCCTTCTGTGGACGTACCGTCCGATGGAGGCATGTTGCATGACCAAGAATTTTAAATATCCATGCGCCACCACAACTTCAGAATGGAGTGTTTGTTTCCCGTCAGACCTGCAGCCACGTTGCCAGGCAATGCTGAAGCGACACGGATGCAGAGCTATCAGCGTTCCACTGGGTGCCTACGGAGCACTGAGTGAGTGGCTCTTTCGCACTGAAGGTTTCAAGGTAACTTCAGAAATAGCAATCGAAGATCAATAGGGTCCATTTCCTGATCAAAGAAAGTCCCTGTATTGTCCCAATAAGATAAAATTGTCCATAAAGGGATTACCCTTGATAACCCCCCATGCTATCATTCTGCAGGAAAGCCAGGAGAGATTTCACGATGGAGTTTTTTTTGATTTAGGCAACTATGGATCAGCTTGGCTCAGGAAGAGAGTCACCTTGTACACCACAGCTCCGTACCTACTTGGATTGGGAAAACCGATCGATCCATGCCAAAGGCCATAATTTGATGATGTAAAATTTGAATCAGTTGCAGCATGTTTTCAGGGTACTTTCTGCCCATTACAGTTTGGGACACCTCATTGCCAGGGAGCGCTTGGCTCGCCTCAAATCTACGTTGAACCTGAAGTTGGTTCGCCACTACCGAGACAAACGAGGTCAGAAAAAAATCAAAGGTGGCCCTCACCTTACCCAATCGGGAATGTACCCCATCAACCTGGGACTGAAGGCTGGGAAACGGTTATTGTTTTCTGATTTTGCTTGCATTCTGACATTCGTTTTTGGTTAAGTTGGCTTTCTAGGTGGGATCTCTGCTGAGTACCTATGTGCTACTGGGCTTAAAAATGGGATTGTGTTTCTTCGGCATCAACTTCCAATTTTCAATTTCGAGAAGTGAATTTGAAGAACCACAATATCTAAGGCAGGAGCACAAACCGGAAGTATCCCCCGATGCCAGCCTGAAGTTCGATAACATAGGAGATGATTCCTCAGACAGCGGTGTGGAACATATGCTGGATTAATCCACATATGATTTAAGGGTTTTGGCGCTGTCAACAGAACGAGTGCCTCGCTGGTCTTGATGCTGTCTGAACGGGGAAAAAAGTCCGATAGTTTGCAACTAGCTTTTCACTCAATTTCTGAAGTGACCTGGAATGTTTTTTTTTGGGGTGCCAGCAACCTGCTCTAGGTCACTTGTTGAAATTGGTTTGAAGGGGGTCCGATAGTTTGCAACGAGCTTTTCACTCAATTTCTGAAGTGACCTGGAATGTTTTTTTGGGGTGCCAACAACCTGCTCTAGGTCACTTGTTGAAATTGGCTTGAAGGGGGTCCGATAGTTTGCAACGAGCTTTTCACTCAATTTCTGAAGTGACCTGGAATGTTTTTTTGGGGGTGACAACAACCTGCTCTAGGTCACTTGTTGAAATTGGTTTGAAGGGGGCTGGAATGCAGATCCCGCTACTATGTGCCAGCTTGACCGAATCATTGCAATCTCAAGACCAGCTACTTAGCTCTTGCCGCTGCCACTGCTGCTTGGCTGCGGCTATTATATGCAGTTTGAAGCCTTATGAATTTCACGTCAGTTCCATGAAGTGTTATGACGCCAGTTGCCACTTCAGAATGTTTGTGAATTTCACGCCTTTCGTGAAATTCACGATTCTTGCATGACAATCCATTCGCCACTGACTTGGGATTTCACGTGTATATATATATGATGTATAATCTGATAAGTCAATCAACAAAACATGAATTTCACTAATTTGACATCACTCTAGGGGATTTCTTTAATGAAATTCACGATTTTGTCCAAAAACGGAAACGTGAAATTTCGTGAATATGACCATATAGATCGACCATATGGGTAGCTGAACGTGAAATTTCGTGAAATTCACGTTTCCAGAATTGAGGAGTCCCAAGTGGATATCGATGCCGCCAAGCTGCATTTGATCAGCCACCAGAGACTTTCCAGTGATCAACGCTCCTTTCTTTGCTGCCTGCAGGGCTGAAAACGAGGATGAAGGCAGCTACGTCACACCCGACAGACCCACAACGAGAAGATGTCGGTCCAAGACCCCGGAAAGTAAAGCTGTTGAAACCCAAAAGGGGAAAGGCAAAGGAAAAAGTAAGGCTCTTCTGGCACTCATGTCTTTGAAAGGGGCTTTAGCACAGGCCAAAGGTCATGGTCGTGGTGCTGGCAAGCAAGTTCCAGCCCCGTCTGAAGAGAGTCCAGGCGACGTCGCAGAACCCAAAAAGAAGAAAGAGAAAAAAAACAAGAAGTCTGAGGGACAAGAGACAGAGACAGGTGACGTTGCAAAGGTTCCCAACAAGAGACCATATGAGGTAGAACGGGATGATGGGTCAACGCCAGAGGCCAAACACAAGAAGAAGAAACAACAGAAGGGTGTAGAACAGGGTGATGAGTCGACGCCCCAGACCAAAGACAAGAAGAAGGATTGCATAGAGGCAGGTGATGTTGCAAAGGTTCCCAAGAAGAAACAACCAAAGGATGTAGAACAGGATGATGAGTCGACGCCACAGACCACACACAAGAAGAAGAAGAAACAACCAAAGGATGTAGAACAGGATGATGAGTCGACGCCACAGACCACACACAAGAAGAAGAAGAAACAACCAAAGGATGTAGAACAGGATGATGAGTCGACGCCACAGACCAAGGATGGCACGGAGACAGGTGATGTTGCAAAGGTTCCCAAGAAGAAGCAACGCCAGCGAGATGATGAGTCGACCAACCATGTGAAGACGGATGATGATGCAAAGGAGGGCACTCCCCTGGAGAAGTGTAGTGAAAAAAAGAAGAAGAGAAAGGCCAAAAGCTCAGACCAGTTGGTTCCAGAAGAGATCGAGAAGACAGCCAGTGCTGACTCATCCACCTCAGATCCCAAGCCAAAGAAACCCAAGACCCGAGTGGAGACACCTGCCCATGACACAGTTGAAGATGGAGACGCAGAGACTTTGCACGATCCAGAGTCACCATCTCAAAGGCGAAGGTTGAAAGCTGCAAAGCCAACCGCAGAGGCGTGTTGCACCACAAACGCTTTGACTCAGTCAAAACTGGAAGACTTGAAACATGTCATCAGGACTCCAAGGCAGTATCCACCAACAAGCACTGGACCCAAACTGACAGCAAAGAAACAACTTGGCATTAGCCATTTTGCAGCCAAACAGGAAGTTGAGGAAAAGACAAAGACGAAGAAGGCTTCCAAGGAGGCTACTGAGGACAAGCCTGCAGGCTTGCATGGTTTTACTTTCCAACTCATGTCCCTTTACAGGCTGTAAACTATATATTTCTCTATGAGATAATTTCCTGATATTTAGGCTGTTTTTTATGATGCAACATCTTGCCATTACATGTGTGTGCTTGTGCTGACACGACGTGCCATGCAGGTGGTGCTTCAAAACTGCTACTTGGCTTGCATGTACAAGTCCAAATCAACAAGTGGCATGACTTGCCCTGGAACTTCCTTGGTTTTATAACTCCATTTCGGTCCCAAACCATGCAGCTCTGGATTTCTTCTGATGCTGTTCTCTCCTCTTTGCATGGGATTTGACTAAGGAGGCGATCTGATACATCCACAACAGTTCCACAAGTTCATTTCTCAGATTGATACATGAACAATCATATAACCTTGTGACAAGCCCAAAAAATGTGTTGACAGGATGGCGTGGTCAAGGGCCTTGCTGTCCGTGACGGCAATGGACGTTTGCGCAGAGCCAGAAACTGAATATCCCAGCTCATACCGACTCATACCTAGGCTTGCAGGTCAGGGGTTTTGATTTGTGTGCCTGAGGTGAAGCATCTGTCTGATGAACAGAAAGAGGTGATATCAGGTCTTGCAGCACCTAGCCAGCTCGATGTCAAGGAGACTTGTGGATTTCTTTTGGCACCCCCGCTGCAATTTTACCATTATAGATGTGAATGTTCTACCATGAGGAGCGAAGATGCTTGTATGCGGCCATGGACAGGAGATTCAACCAAGGAGGCTGGTATGTAGCATGCATGTTAAATCTTTTCATATACAATCTTCTGAAACAATACATGGTGTGTATGACGATCGTTGTGCTTGACTTCAGCTGGCAAAAAACCTTGATGCCAGATCTGCCTGCCTCACTGATGGAAAAATATGCCGCAGCAGCTGGGAACCACAGCAAGAAGCCCTGCACTCAATGAAATCAATCTCCAAAGTTCTCTTGTGTTCCTTTGGTCTGATAAGGTTCCAATTGCTGAAGGAATTCTTGCTTGCAGACGAGATGCGCCCAAGCAGCATCAGCACAGAACCACGGCCAGAGATCTTAGCATCGCTGTAGCTGCCATTGTCCTAGGCGGAGTGTGCAGATCGAGGGCTCGGTCGCATCGAGATTCAGCTGAATCGGGTTTGCGTGTCACACAAAACATGGGGCTATACTTCAGCCTATGTTTTTTTTATCCACGTGTTTTGATTATCAACATTCTATTTTGATGCTCGTTTCCCAGAAACCTTTTCGAAGTCACCGGGGTCTCCCAAAGAAGGTTTAGAATAGTTTAGAAGCAGTCCTGGGTCACCGAGGTCTCCAAAAACACGGTTGCACATTAGTAAACCTGCAAAGGTGTATTGATCAGGTTGGGAACTCTGAAATTGCCATCGGACTTTTTTCATCCTTTACTTCAAACTTTACTTCACGTAAGTTGACTCAAATTCGAAGGGACACATACATATATATATATATACTTACATTACATTCCCACCATTTCCACATCCCTATTCAAATAGAAGGAAAAAGCATAACAACAACAGGCTAACAAACACATCCTTCAACCAAGTATCACAAGGTCATACATGGATGCATGCATACATGATACAAATTCTTATTTATGCACATATCACATATCGTTTAAATAAAATGAAGGTTAAACAGTTATACATGAATACTTTTGGGTTAACAAATTTTCCTGAATGGCTATCAGCTTAGAGAGAAAATTGACAGGGGCCATTTCACTATTATATATGTGTTCCGTTCTAAGCCAATTGGGGCATTGCCGAACTTAATTGGAAAATCCTGGGCCCCATGGGCTCCATGGGACTAATTGGGATGGCGCAGTGTTGGCTGGATGTCTATCCAAACCCCTCGGTCGATTCCTGCCCCAGGAAAAACCGGGTGAAGCAGGATGACATTTATGTTGAGTTGCCGCTCTTCGAGCTGGAAATCCGATATGGGGGCACTGAAGCTGGGAGGCGCTTCTATTTCCTTGCCAGCCAATGCTTTTGATCATATTTTGCACCTTGCATATATAATATGTTCAACTGTTTGCCAGGGACTTTATCCAAGATATCCAGAAGTCTCAGAAAGGAAGGCCCCATCCAGACCGCCAGGCATGGCCCATGCATGGCCTCCAGTTCTGCCATGATTCTCTCGTCATTGCAATCCTGCTTTTGCCAGTTCCACCAAAACCCTTGGCTGTGCCAGTTTCGGAACAACCCAAAGTACCGAGTGTACAAAGTCTACAAGTTCACAGAGCACAAGAGTGGGCCTGGCTTGGTTGTCTCAATTTCAGCTTTCTGCAAGGTTTTCCCAGTGTTGGATGATGATATTGCAAAAAGTTTGAAACCTTAGGATGCCATGAGTTATGAAAAATCATTACAACTATACAACTGTTCAGTTTTTAGTTCAATGACCGCATGTTTTTCACTGTTTGATCGCAACCTCTTCTGATTATTTTCGATGCACCTTTTTGCCTTTAAATGCAGCCGAGGCGGCCATGAGAATGTGGCAAAGACGAAGATGTCGAAGGTGGCAGAAGTTGAGCTCAATCCACCTGCCAACGCAGATGGGGATGGTTCCGAACAATCAGGATCACCTGCAAAGCCTGACCCAAAGGAGGAGGCCACCAAAAAAGCAATCGCGGCGATGTATGATTCCATGGTTCCGCTTTCAGGGAAGAAAAGTAGGAAGGATTCTGATGACGATACTGATGACAACCGAACAAGAAGGCGAGGTCGTGGCCAGGGCCAAAGGCAGACCCCTGCTGCTGAGGAGAGCCCAGAGGCGACAACTGATATCTTCAAGAAAGATAATGGTTTCTTTTTTTGCATGTTATTCCGCCAAACATCTGGTGCCATTTGTTTCTGAAAGGTGCAGCAACAGAAGCAAGACAAAAAGGATCTTGAAAAGGCAATCAGAGGGCTTCACCCTGAGGATTGTTTCTGGTTTGCTTCCACAGATTCCCAGTCGCTCATGCTCTCTGCTGCCGAGGGTCAAATCTTTGGCAAACAAAGTTCGCGATGCCAGCCAGACGCTCCATTCGCTTGCTGGCAACGAGGCAAGATACCTGGGCAGCGAAGCTCTGTGAAGTTCTTGGTTTGGCCATAGCCCTTTGACCTTTTTTGAGTTCGATCGGTAGGAAAGGCTGCAACCTTCAGCCATTTTATTATTGGTGCCCTTTATCTTCCCCGTTCACTTATCTTGTATTTATGATATTCTTCGCACTGTTGCTTCGGTTATGTCAGGCGATGAGAACAGAGTGCATGGGCATCTTCCAGGAGCTTTCTTCCATGGCTTCGGGGCCCCACCCCCAGCAACAATCAAGATCAAGGCATCAGGATTCAAAGAGAGGATTGTTCAATCAAGTTTGAGAATGTGACCATTGCAACAGCAGCCCAACAAGTTTGGTACTAAGGTTGGAGAACAAATTTGCTAAAGGATCCAGTGCCCATACTGTGTTGGAGACCTACCGTCTGAAGCGGCCTGAGATTGAGGCCTGTCATTTATCACACCCAAAGTCCCCAAAGATTTGGGGGTCTACCCCGCAAAACTTGAGAAGATTTGTGGTCCTACCATAGTTTGAATGAAAATGGTAAATAGTGATGTGGGTTGTCGATGTCACTGAACGCATCTGAACACCTTGCAAATCCCACGGATTGTTTTTATATATGTGCAAATCAAGAATGTTCCATTGAATAAGGGTTTCAAACGACAGGAATTCACATTAAACAAGATTTCCTTTGAAGTGAAAGAGGTCCTGGCCAAGAATGTTCCTTATGCGTGCGAAGCCCCCAAGATTATTTTCGACCGAGTTTTTCATATAAAGGCAAAAACTCGGTCGCAATTAATCTTGGAGGCTTCTAGGCCAGGACCCCTTTCACCTTGAGGACCCTTTCAAAGGACATTTTGTTATTAATGGGGTGGATCAAAATTCATTGTTGGTGACCTCCATTTTTTCAAAAAACATTGGACTCAGGAACTCGGCTTGGAACAGCCATTTCTTTTGGAACCCGCTTTTCAAGGGAAATTGATTATCTCCAAATCATGATCATTTATACGTGTTTATGATGTTGATCAATGTACCCAAAAACTATTCATATACATAATACATGTATGCCAGAAAAGTTGTATTTGAAAGATCTTGAAGCTTTTGGGAAACAAACTTGCACACATGCATATGCATGCAACATCCAAAAAAAGATCCACTGAACCTTCCAGATTCCAGAATACATTTCCCACAAGACTCATCCCGTTATCGCTGCATGTGCTCGTTGTATTGCGATCGTTTAAAACAACACTTTTTCTTTAAACAAGTACCCTAAAATTTAGGGTAACTTTTTGTCCCTCCAACGGTAAGGGTTTTGAAAGATCCTTTTGTATCGCGATCGTTTAAAGCAACACTTTTTATTAAAAACACGTACCCTAAAATTTAGGGTAACTTTCCAGAGGGGATTAAAGGCACATATGGGTGAACTACTTTTTTTGCACTCTGTATCATCTAAGGGTACCGTTGCAAAGCATTTGAAACATACAATCAAGGATATAGAAAATGAAATCATGTCTCATGTTCGCATTTTTTATCCCTTGCACAGCCCGGACATTTCCACTTGCAGCCGTGGCATCCAACCGATCCTGCAGAAATACGAAGATGCCATCGAATCTGCGAAGTCTGCTGCAAATGCTTTGAAGCGCCGTTTGAACCTTGGATTTGGTCGCCGTTTCTTGTGCCCCGTAATTTGGGCACAGTGAGTTTGGAAATCATACATGAGGCCAAAAGAAAAAAATTGGGAATTCCGACAAGAGCGATCAGGGGTCCAATGTCCATTGGACTGATGACGATTGGATCGAATGGTGGGAAACCGAGGCTGACGAAAACAGTCAATACAGTTTGTTGAATGTGTGGATCCCTTAACACAGATCAGAACCATGCATGTCTTGTATACTTGGCAGGGGCGCGAGAGCACGATGGAGTAATTCTGATCCATCTATGGCTTCTTTTGACATGTGGGGGGCAAGGCAAAATGCCATGTAGGAACATGCAGTGAGCTTAGGCATACTGCTTTGAAATGCTTTGCAGTATTTGCACGCTGCGTGATGTGTGTGTGGCATTTGCGAACTAGCAGAAAAAGTCAATGGCTTCAGCACTGCATGTCCACAGTGAACAATGGTCAGAATATGTCACATGCAAGAACCAGCTTACCACCACTGAAAAAATACAGGGAGCAATTGCTTGATACCCATCCGATGCCCATCTTGTGCTGCCTGGTGGCCACGCAGGTATCTTGATGCGCATCAATGGCAAAGAGATCCTCGCGCGGTGTGCCGAAACTGGTGGAGCAGTTCTTGACTGCCCTATCCACAGGGGAGGCATGGCTGGGTAAAATTTTCTTTATATAAGTTTTGAATATCTATCTATCTACAAATAGATATGCTTACACATACATAATCATACGTATTGTGTATGTACATTTTTTTTAAATCTAAATATATACTTATATATATATATATGTATATTTATATATGTATGTATGTATATACATATATATATATATATACATATATATGTGCATACAGGGGTGTTTGCCGGATACCCTGCAAATATGGGTTGTACATTCCCCCAATGGCTGTTATTAAGATCAACATATATGATCAATGAAGATTTCCCCTGAAAATCCCTGAAAAAAGTTCCTATTGTACCACATTGTTCTATGGGACTTCCATTGGCCCCCATAAAACAACCCAGGGATCAATGAAACGCTTGCGAGAGCTAACCAGTGCACTGCTTGAATTGCCACACTACTTGGTTCCGAAACATGGCAAGTAAACTTGAACAGACCATCCTTTCTTGTACTTGGGGGTGCAGTTGTGGTATTTTTTGGATCGGAAGCAAGAATGGGAAGTACCTTGAAGCGCAACTCCCGCAACTATATGGTTTTATACTTATATATAGTTAAAGGGGATGGAACTGCACCCCCAACTATTTATGGTTTCCCCAAATGTTGTAATGCGGGGCTTCTATTTGTTTGTTGTTTTGGTGTGTGCGTTTGCCCTTCAAATGCATGAGGATCAAAAGTCAAAGGTTAACCACCTACTCCATTTGCATGCGCTCTAAGGCCATCGATTCTGAAGCTCGGGGAGAAATTTGAGAGTGCTGCAGGTTGGGCATCTGAACGCGTTTTCAGTTCATGGGTGGCCGAGCAAGAATGGCGGCAGTGCTTGCCACCAATTTTCGAAATTTCAGTTGAAAGAGCAACTTGTTTGCCACAGTTTTTACACCCTGATTTATTTTCCAGTCTTTATGCAACCAGACTATGGCTTCCTGACCGCATGATAAAAGTTCATCAGTCTGTTGGGGTGGTTCCCATTGAACAGGCCCTTTTTTTGAGGGGGGGTTGGCTTGAAAAGATCAAATTTCCCTCGGGTGAGTGAGGCCAATATGCTAGAGCATTCAAAGCTGAAGACAATCAAGCTGGGGATCTTTCTTCCTCATGAGATCGCGTCAGCATTCTACCATTTCCGATCTGGGGATCTATTCTTCAGCCTCCTGACTGGCACGCCTGATGTGGCTCAGCTGAAACTCACCATTGTTTGATTTGCTGCAAGATGTGAAAAGTATTTACGGAGATTAGGTTCAGTTATACTATATCCAATACCGGTTTACATTACATGTCTCACGTGAAGTTTTTTGGAATATTGTTCTCCTACATGCCTTCAGGTTCAAGAGCTTTGCCCGTAGTGAGCCAGCCAAGGACATTTCGAACTACTGGAACAACAACACGGATCTGGCCGAGGAGTTGAGATGCTATTGGGGTGAGTCGGATGATGCCCCTATGGATCAGGTGTTCCCCATCAGGGTTTACGGTGATGGGGCTGACACTATTGGACTCAACGCATTTGAACTGCTGACTATGATAGCTGTAGCGCCGCAGCATTCCTTCACTATGAAAACTCGCTCGCCGCGTTTTGTTTCTGTCCAAAAATGTTTCCAGAGAACAAATCCGAATGGAGACAATTCATTTGGCCATGGCAAGGCTGTCTCTCAGAAACACCCAGTATACTTCAGAACGTGAACGAGGAAAACTGCTGGCTCTGTTGGTTTGGTCCTTGCGGGCACTGAGTTTCCTGCCTGCAGTCGTGTACATGCAACCACGGTCCAAACGGTGGGCTTTGACAGTAAAGCATCCAAGATTGTACACCGTCTTTGTTAAGGTGTATTTTTCCCCACCTGCCAGGTGAGGGTTGTTAGATTTTATCAGAGTTGTTCTCCTCCTCCTCGGCTAGCTGTCCTCTTCCTCCTCCAGTTTCTCCTCGACCATGTCTGCATCAACTTCCACCTGCACTTCCGCCTTGCCAACTCTTCGCCAAGCTCTTTGCCAACTCTCTTCGCCAAGCTCTTTGCCAACTTCCCAGCTCAGTGTGCACCGCTGGACCTCAACCTGGGACCTTCCCAGATCAGTGTGCACCTTGGACCTGCCCAGCTCAGTGTGCACTGCTGGACCTCAACCTGGGACCTGCCCAGCTCAGTGTGCACCTCTGGACCTCAACCGGGGACCTTCCCAGCTCAGTGTGCACCGCTGGACCTCAACCTGGGACCTGCCCAGCTCAGTGTGCACCGCTGGACCTCAATGGCCAGATTGCCAGAAGATATGCCAGATAGAATGTCAGATAGAATGCCAGAAGATATGCCAGATAAAATGCCAGAAGATATACCAGATAGAATGCCAGAAGATATGCCAGATAAAATGCCAGAAGATATACCAGATAGAATGCCAGAAGATATGCCAGATAAAATGCCAGAAGGTATGTCAGATAGAATGCCAGAAGATTTGCCAGTAACAAAATGTATGAATGTCATGGTGGGGATAACTCGAAGTAAAGTAATTTTAAATTCGGGTGATGGCTAAAATGGACAAACCAAGTGTGGTCTCAGGTAGCGGTGTTTGGCCCACGCATGACTGGAATGGCAAAAAGTTCACGGCGACATACTACCCTAGGTGGTGCCTCCTTGCTGGCACCAAGCTTTGTGGCGGGTGGCGTGGCGTTCTGGATGGAATTCAAGGGGACCAAGACTTTCTGCACAAAATCTTCAATTTCAAGAGACATTCGCTGCGAAAAAACAATTTTGGCATATATACTTTCTGAGTAAATTGCGTGACATATATAGCCAAAAGGTTTGACACATAGTTACGCGGCAGATTTAAAGCTTTTGGGTGTATCCCCAATAAGAGTCATAGTGGCAAGGACCTTGGCTTTGCTGGCTGTTCTGGGTTCCAGTCTCAATCGAGGATCTTGGCACTCCAAGAGAAGATTTGCATGCCAGTACTGTGGAGCAGTTAGTTTTCTCAATCCTGGAGAACCGGAGTCACTTCTGTATACAGCCTTCGGGCAGGACGCAGCACACAGATCAACGTTTCTTGAAAAAGTTCGATTTTTGAAGGATGCCCCCAGTAGAAAAAAACACTGACAGTTTTAGGTCCGACCAAGTTTACTTTGCAGTTCATCTTGGCTAGCTAGCTAGGCTCTTGGCAAATGCCGCAGAATGGGAAGAAGTACACGGCAATTCCCCGCTGTGCAATGTCCCAGGCTTTACTCCATGGCGACCCTTGGAATATTCACTCTTTTCTCCGCGTTCCCCCAAAAACTTTTACAACTGAAGGTAAAAGGAAACAACCCCACCTAAAAAAATCCTTTTGACAGTGATGCCAGCTTAGGAATCTATCCAGATCTACTTCACATCGTTGACTTGCAGATACTTCATGATGTGATATCTTCAACCCTGCAGGAAATCTCAGCTGGTACTGACCGTGCCCATCCTCGCGAAGCGCGCTTGCAAGAGCTGCACCAGTCATATATGCAGTGGTGCGCCGACATGGGCTCCATGGCTTTGCAGCGCAAAACCTATATCATTAATTTGTATGTCTTTCACTCCCAAAAGGTTTTACTCCCAGATAAGTTGAAGGGCCCAACTTTTGTTGAGCGATGCTGTGCCCAACTGTAGGCATACCTCATTCTGCACGGGCATCTCCAAGATTATTCACTGCGAAAATTTTGCTATCGGGGGGAACGACATCTTATTGCACGCTTTCCCAAAAGGTACTGAAAGGGGCTGCTGCCCGCATGCTCATCTACTGGCTGTGCAGTGTACTGGCACAAACTGATGATGGATCTTTGTATTCTAAGTTACTTGGTTTTACCAATCGCAAGCCCCCAATGCAGCGTTTTTGCATTTTTTTGGGGGGGTCTGCGTTGTTAATTCAAAGTGCTGCTCACCGATGTCTCCATTGTTTGACTGAACATTCCAGGCGCAGATTGAGCACTTGCTTGGCACTGGCAGCGATGTACACCACATTTGCTGAACATGGGAGGCTCAACCTACAAGTGTTTTGTTTTACCACTTTTTGCTTATTCTATCATTACGCCGTGTAATATTTTAACATTTCCCAGAAATGGAACAGGGTCTCACAAACCAAAACAATCTCAGGAAATATTGGCCACAGACCTGGACCGATGACCATCCTGTGCTGGATATGCACTTTGCATATTTGCAGTTTCGATCATCGTACAACTGAAGCTTGGTCTTTTATTCGTCACCTAGTGGTTCCCTGCAATCTGCAAGTGACCAAATTCCTGAGAAATTGGACGGCATCATTGGAATACGTATGATGCAGTCTTTTCGCAATGAAACCGAAACATATATGGGCATCCCACTTGGTTATCTGTAACACAATCCGGATGAAAATAGTATATTTTGTTGGAGGCAAATGGATCGGTATGTGAGTCAATGGCAGTATAGCCCTGTATCTCAAGAACCGGAGTTTTCGTTATAATTTGTTTTTTGTCCCAACTAAGGGCTGGCGAACTTTGCCTTAGATCACGAAGTGATGAGATGGCCTCTTCGCCCAAAACAGCATCAACTAGAACATTTGGTGCTTGACTTTGGTGTGTGGTTAAACCCACGCCATTTCTCATGCATGTTGGATGAAGACCTGATAGGTCGTCTTAAAAAGATAGCTTCCCATACCCATCCACAGACAATGTCTGTGCGTGCCTTGGAGCATTATGCCGTTTGTGCGGCTTCTGTGTGGGTTGGAGATTTGGTGAGCCAAACAGTTTGAAAAAAAAACGGCACCTGTCCACTGTGCAGGTTCGCGTGATTTATTTAGATTTATTTTGTCGTGTTTGTGTTTTCGGAACCCCCCCCACATTATATACCAAATCAATTTTGTTCATTAATATATAAAATGAAACGCATAAATGGGTCACCTCTACTCAATTTGTAAGAAAAATATGTTGTTAAATATATATATATATGTGTGTGTGTGTTTATATGTATACCTTTTTCTTCTTGAGCAGCGGAAAGATGGTCTAGTAAGCATGTCTGTTTGCCATGCCACCTATGTTCCCCATGACTGCTTGTGAATGCTGCTTCTTTGAGCAGTGCCACTGTGCAAAATACATAGGGAAGAAGTTGTCAGTTGCAAGATCATGTGTCAGCTAGAAGTGCAGGCATAAGTGAGAGCGGTTCTAGTAGCCATGTTTGCTTGCTGTGCCACCATGTTCCCCATGACTGCTTGTCAATGCTGCTGCTTTGAGCAGCGCCACTGTGCAAAATACATGGGGAAGAAGTTGTGAGTTGCAAGATCTGCCGGCTAGAAGTGCAGGCTCAAGTCAGTGGTAGAGGAGCAACAATGTTTGCTTGCTTCGCCACCATGTTTCCTGTGAATGCTTGTGAATGCTGCTGCTTTTAGCAGTACCGCTGGGCAAAATATGGAAATAGATGTTCTTAGCCGGAAGATTACAGTCCTGTAGGGCATGCCCTTAACTTGTCAAAAAACGTGAAATTAGCCTATCTGGTCGGCTGCCGTATAATTCGCCTATGTGGTCTTTTGACCTCTCCTGGATAGCATGCGCTGCACACCGCCATCCAGCCACCTAAGAGCCCCTCCAATCTCTCGACGCCATTGACTTTCTCATGGCGGGCTCGGGCTCCGGAGCACCGTGCTTGATAGCCCGGCAGCCTACCTTGCATCGGTTGGTAGCATTGCCCTTGCGTGTGAAGAATTTGAGCCAGCTTACACTGCCGCTGCAGTCCTGGTGGAACCTGTCACGCAGGCTATTTGCTTTCTCAACACCAAGTTCAGCACCCTTTGGCCCCCGGAGCCGCTCTCAGCATGAGACAGAAGGCTTTGACCCACCTGGTAGACGAGGAGTCGCGGCGAGCTTCCTCCACGGCTTTTCGCGCGCTGCTTCGATCTGAAGCAGAACCAGGGGCTCGCGCTTTTCTGGCAGCCCGACGTGGGGGCCCCACACGTATGGACAGTGCATTCTTTGTGGCTGAACTCCGTCACCGCTTGCAGATCCCAGAGGCAACTTCTGACAAGTGGTGGCCCCTGTGTAACGCATCCTCGACACTCTTTCACTGCATGCTGGCACGTGTCGCCAGGCGGGAGAAAACTCTGCGACACACAGCTGTGCGCGATGCCCTTTTCCGATGGGCGGACCGGCCGAACCTCCAACCTGAGAAGGAGCGCCCCGGGCTCCTCCTTCCACAAAGACCGGATGACCTTGCCAACCAGCTGCCGACATCTTCCTTCCCAGCATCACCGGTGTCCCCGCTGCTCTTGACCTGGCCATCACGGCCCCCCAGCGGCAAGACATCGTTGGACCTGCTGCTGCAGCTGCTGCTGTAGGCCTCCAAAACGCACCCCTCGCCACACCGAAACACCATGCCACTGAAGGACGGAACGACCTCCAAAAACATGCTGCCCCGAGGCTTGACGTCCCTTCTGGATCCTGTTACAAACAAAGCGAGTTCAGCTGCTCGGCCTGCTGCTGCTGCTGCTGGTGGTGCTGGTGCTGGTGCTGGTGCTGCTGCTGCAGCTGCTGCTGCAGGCCTCCAAAACATACCCCTCGCCACACCGAAACACCATGCCACTGAAGGACGGAACGACCTCCAAAAACATGCTGCCCCGAGGCTTGACGTCCCTTCTCGATTCTGTTAAAAACAAAGCAAGTTCAGCTGCTGGGCGTGCTGCTGCTGCTGCTGCTGCTGCTGGCTCCGCTGCTGGCTCCTGGCAGCGGTGTCATAAACTCCTTTTCCCTTACGCGCCCCCCCTTGCGTTTGCCGGGGTCGGCGGATTTGTCAGGTTTTCACAGTATGAAAAATGCCGTTGCTGTTGCTGTTGCTGCTGCTGCTGCTGGTGGTGGTGGTGGTGGTGTTGGTGTTGGTGTTGGTGTTGTTGTTGTTGTGGTTGTCGTTGTCCTTGTCGTTGTTGTCGTCAGTTTTTGGCGGCAACAACAATCCTTGAATCTTGACAGACCGCTGAACCAATCTCTCACAAGACCCATGTGTATGATCCACCACCTCAAATACTTGATGCTCGAACTCCTTGAATCGAACTTGAAACAAATTCTCTCCCAGAAAGTCTCTGAGCTGCAACCTTTGTTTCAGGACGGCCACCAGACAGAGTTCTTTTCTTCATTGCATCGGTGTACACCCTTTTGCGACTTGCATGCAGTGGTACTCTCAAAAAGGTATTGCATTGCATGCTTCTGCGTTTGTGCTGTGGTTGCAGGCCGAGGACCATGAGAGCCATATTCACATGTTTTTTAGTTTATGCAGGTGGGGTGGGGGGTTAGCAATGTATATTTGAAGTCGCACACGCAACTCATGTTGTGCTTTGCAACTTGCACATGCAACTGCGACTACGACATAATGGGGTTAGTAGGTTGTGGTGGGGTCGGGCGGGGCAAGTTCACGCTGCACCCGCAATTGATGGTACGGTAGAGAGGCGGGAGTCGCAGAGTTGATCAAAACTGTTGGTGCACATTCTACGAACATTTCTTTTGCAGTTTGAGCGCCAATTTGATCCCAAGGTTCACAGTGGAGTTCTGTTTACGTGTAACGGCTTTCGGCCCTAGAGTTTTTTGTGGAGAGGACTGACGGCAATTTCCTTCGTTGGCATTGTATTTGATTTCTCCATCTGCATGACAAGGGGATCATGCTGGCAGCTTGTCAGAGCATGCTCCCTTGGCTCTTCCAACACCCAGAGAATGCTTTGGATCTGTAGTAGCTTGATGCACCAGGACTGGTGTTGGATGCTGCTTGATGTTTGCGTCGCCTTTTCCTCAGAAGAATTTGGTCAGTGGTTTGAGATCTCAAGTTCAAGGGTGGTCTTATTGTTTGAGCAAAGAACAATTCTCACGCCCAGAACTGGAAAAACGCTCAGATCTTGGCTTGGTCCGAAATTGACGGTACTGAAAAGCAGTTGATTGTAAATGTGCTGTCAATGTTCACAGGGGTCGAGTGGGGTTTGCCTTGTCCGTTGCAGCTGTGATGCAAGTGACCTGGCAGAAGGTCTTCTCCAGCCTCCTTGAATTTGCTCTAGAATTGCAGATGCACCAGGAGGACAGCCTTGGACCCGGAGAAAGGGAATCCTACAGGGAAATCCTATGAAATCCTCCAATTAAATCCACAAATGTCCGTACTTCTTGCCTCAGCATCATGCATCTCCCCTTCGCATGTGACGGGATGCCACGATGTAGAAAGTTATAAGGACTTTGCTTTGTAGGAGCACTTCTCATTTTTGCTGAACATAAGCAGTCAGTGGAGGCACTGCAAAGGAATAATTAACCTTTTTGACAACCTACAATTCTACGATAGAATCCGTACCAATTATTTTGACTTGTTCTCAATACTTGAGAGGAGCTTAGAGCAGGGAGAGAGAAAAAGAACACCAACACTCCGTTCCTAGCAGCTTTGTTGGACAACAGGATTCTTCATCGAATGCATTCAGCAATATGCGGCTGTTGCGCGTCCTGCGTGTTGCAAAAGTAACGCGGGCTCTTCGAATAGTCAGGCAGGGCTGTCCACATCATGCTATTTTTGTCATCTTGGAGCCGGTATATAAGTGTCCTTTTGCAACCCGGCCTGTTTCTACACCGCTTGCAACCCAGAGATCCATAGATGCTTTCAGCTTTGGAAAGCGGACTGGTGGAAAACATCAAGTTAGGGCACGTCGCCATTTGCTCTCCGACAGGGTTGTGAAGTTCGTGCGGTCATTGAAGTCCCTTCTTTTCTGCATCGGGCGCACCCTAAGGGCATTGGCAGCATGGCAGCATTATGTGAAGTTCTGCGGCAAAACCCACACATGTGGAAACAACATCAAACAGAACTTTGCTTGCGTGGAGTTTCTATCAGAGTTAAAGAGTTTAAATTTGAATCTGCTAGACCCTCAGATTTTGACAGTCACTTGCATGTGTACTAAGTGTGTTGGTACCCTGCGCTTCTGTCCCCCGAACGGAACGGACGCAACAGAATATGTGTGGAACCTGCTAGCAACTTGCAGGGGACCTTGTCTTCTGTCAAATCATAAGTCCCATCTTGAGAAAACCTGTCCAGACCAGGGGTCAAAATCACAGGTCCAGGGGTCAAATAGATATGGTGCCCCAACTTGCATGTGACTTCAAAGCACGAACACATCATAAGCGTCATACAGCAAAAACAAGTTACTTGGCGCTCAAGTTTTTCTCAATCAGTTTTGTCGAAGTTCTATCATCTCGAACTTTGAAAACTTAAGGCATGGTCGCTGGTTCTTCTGATGCTCATTGTATTTGTGCCCCTTGGCGAGCCTGGCAGTTTGGCCGTCACCTATGGGAGAGTCAGCAGTCGACAAAGCACCACGTGTTTGGATAACAATCTCCTCGCTGGGACCCCTCACTTAGCATGTTTTTCAGGTTCAAGTCGGTTCAAGTAAAAAAAACTTGTGGACATCCTCTCTACTGAATGTATTCGGAGAACTGTCCATGCTGGCCCTGCTCCGAAGCTGAAGGTTTGGGCTGATTTTTACAGACATCACCTCTGAATACTTGACACAGACGGACACTGTTGTTGATCCCATCACCGCAGGCTTGGACTCACCGATTTTGTTTGGCAAAGATGTTTCAAAACTGAAGGTGTTTCAAAAGCTCAGGGTCTGCGCATTGTGACGTCTCGTGTTTGGTTGGAGGTCCGTGCCAGTCTTGCCAGGAACCTTGCGGACGCGCTTTGGGGGTCTGGAGCTGTCGATGCACACCTTGTACGGCTCCATCACTGGAGGCCCAGAACTTTGCTCAGTGAAGCTGGTGAAGTCTGATCACAGCAATACACTTGAGCCTAGTCAGGGCCTGCCAATTTCAACAAAGCACATGTTTTTACTGCAAGCATATCATTGATGTCTTTGATAGCTCGTTACATCATCACTACTTGCTTTTTGTGTAAAGAGTTTTGGCTTTCAACAGATCAAAACGCCTGGCTGGACTATGTGATAGGTTTCACATGGGTTGAAGCTCGCGATGCGTTTGGTGAAATCTCCTTCGTTTGGGGCAAGGGGCCTAGAGCCAGGAACAGTTGTAGACTGCTTTCAGGAGAGGGTTCAAAAGACTTGGGAAGAAAATACACCGCGCTCACCTGGCCACTCTGCCACTTGTGATGACAAGGACAGGGCATGGTGAGTGCGTGTGTCTGGTGCGGTTGGTGTGCTGTGTGGAGTTTGTCCATGAGCCGTGTGGCTTTGTGCCTGCTAAATTGCCTTTGGTTTTGAAATAGAGCACCTCTGTGTAAAACACGCCGCCGCGCCTCCATGGCAGTTGTGACAGCTGAGGCATACTTTTCGAAGGGTACATTTCATTTTGCCTGTTTGCAGTCAGATGCCCAGAGATGCCCAGAGAACACATGGTTGTAGCCTGGTTGACATGTGCGGATGGGTCCTCCCATGTTCCTCGTGGACGTCGCTAGAGGAATGGAGAATAGGATGGGACGTCAGGAGAGTGGTTCGGCAATATCTCAGCTAAGGTCTTAAACGTCATGACGGGAGCCTGGCACCTGGTGGCACTTGCTTCTTGTGTGCTCACCTGTTGCACCTTCGAGCTTACTTTCACTTCAACGAGACTGTCATCGCGCTTCATTCCATTTCTATCCATTTCTGACCAATTTTGGTTGTTACGAAAGCCAGCCGGCATGCGAACGAAGTGAGAGTAGGGGGTCTGGTGCAGGTTCTTCGTTTCCAATGCGCATCTTCATGCCCCAAATTTGAGTTTTTGCCTGCAACTTCATGTCATGTGTATTTATGTGTATTTATGTGTGACCTTGGTGTAGTGTTGACTGTACCCCATAGAGCAGCACTCCTTGCCCTGACCCCCTGAATAGCAAGGAAGAGATCGTCCGCAAATGTCTCAAAGACAGTATATACAAAATACAAAAGCAAGTAATCACAGGAAGTGCAACAGATAGAACAGGATCCGCCAAGCAGCTGCGTTTTGTATTTTGATTTTGACATATTTGATTCCTGTCTATTCGCAACAGCCTTGGTCAATGTAATACCCGCAAGATTAAACAACATCCAGCAAGCACTGACTGAAGGTTTCGACAGGATTCAAGCCTCATATTAATCCAAAATTGGCGGCAGACCTGGCGCTTGACTGCTTTCATGATGCTGCCGGATATTTTCGTAGGATTGACTGGCATGCTACCCGTAAGTTTGCTGCTTCCTGTGCGGAAGCTAGGACCTTGGCTTGTGGTGCCGCTTTCTCTCCTGCTGCTCTTGGTGGTCGGATGCCTCATCGTCCTTCCACCAGTGCATTTGGATGGTTGCACTGAACTTGGCACGTTTGATCACATTGCTTGGGAGTGTCCTCGTCGCCCTTGTAACATTCCTAAACCTGCCGAGTTTTTGTCTTCTCGGTATGGTTGGGTCGTTACAAATCAAGTTTGTGACATTGATGCTGTGCATGGTTGGTTGGTTCATGTGCAAGAGACGCTTTGGTCCCTTGTCCATCCATGACTTGTGCTTGTTTGTATCATGGTCCTAGTCACCTTCCGGTTTCTTGGTCTTGCCCACTTGCACACTCCTTGGGGTTGCTTTGCCTTCGTGGGCTTCCCCTCTGGGTTTGGCTTGGTTTGTTTGGGTCTTTGCCCCCTTGGTTTCCTTTTTGCGGTGTTGGTTGCTTTTTCGCTGGGCTGTTTGCACATTTGGTGTGGTCTGGGCGCCTTGGCCTCAAGACGCCATGGAGTCGTTTGTTCCCGTTGGGCCTTTGCTTCGGTCTTCATGGCGTGCTTTCGGGGTGGGCTGCTGTGGCTGCTGCTGTGGCTGCCCCCCTCGCTCTGCGCTGTCTATTTGGGGGCAGTTCAGATCAAAGTTCGCACAGACCTGGTGCTTGCTGCAGGTGTTCTGTCACTCCGCCATCGAAAGTCTGCAACTGAGAGGATTCCATCGCTTTTGACAGGTCTAGTCCGTCTAGTCCTTGATCCCGTGTTAAGAGCAAGTTCTGGAAGTCTTGCACAAGGAAGTGCAGGGTCTGCATGGTTTGTTGAGCCACCAAAGTGGTCTATTGCCCCGTCAACCTTCAGTTTTTACAGTCAAGTCATCATCTACTCTTTTGAAACGTCTGGAGATTTGCAGCACTTCTACTCTACGGTTTATCCTTCTTCAGCGCCACGTATTGCCACCATGCTTGTTGAACAGCGCAGCACAGAGAACATGCCACATTGATTCTATCATAGATGCTTGAGACATATTATGGTCATAGGACAGGCCCAAGAGCCCAGCGCCTCTACATTTCCCCAGGTGCCGACAAGGACCATGAAATGAACTTACAGATTTTGGCTACTGAAAGAGAGAAGTACTTCCGCGCAGTGAAACGGCTCTTTGCGAGGTCACTTGAAAGCACTGAACTGCTGCACTTGTCGGTGGTGTGTGTCTGGTGGGGTTGGTTAAATTGGCCTTGGCCGGTCTTGGAAATGGATGGAAATGGCAGTTTCCCCAGTTTCCCTTAATCTCAGGCTTGACGCAGACGCTGATGGAGGAATCACGGCAACAGAGTTCGAGGTGCCGTCACAACCTTTGTCAACATCTTGGCATGGATCCAACAGAATAATCCGACGCTTTTTTTTGTTGCGAATCTCGTGGACACCTCCACTAAAGCGACTGGTCATGTCATCCGAACCTCCAAGACTCTTGAAGTCTTGCCAGCGAAGGCAAAGAAACCAGTGCAACTGAGTGTTTGTTTCTTCGCCAGGGAATGCTTCTGTGCTTCAGTCCAGGTTGCGCTACAAGATAAGACGCTTATCAGTGTGTTTGACGCTCTGGAGATCAGTGTGGGAGATGCCTGGAATTTATTCCGGACTCTGGACAGTGATCCTTGGCAACGACACGGCAGAATTTGCATTTCCAAGATGTGAATTTCGGATATGCCTTTTCTGTTGTGATTTCAGATCATATGATTGGCTTGCCAGACCAGTGCCAGAACCCAAAGAGACCGGAGAGTGTGACAAGTCTGGAAACTTGCCCAGTCGTTTCAGAGGATGGTGCATCGCTTTCTGAGGATGGAGATTCTCATGTGGGACCACAGGAGTTCATTGATGGCAGCGCGACTGCATGTACAGAGGAAGATGAGGAAGACTTGAGGGCTTCTTTGTAGCTGGTTTTGGAAAGAGCTATCAGTAGCAAACCAAAGGAGAACTGGCCCTTCACTCGCGGATGCACACTCCGGAATTTGCGCTGTTTATGAGGCTGCTTGCGACTAAAAGGTCCTGCTCGGTCCATTGATGTCAAATGCTCAGAAGCGTACGGGCTAAGATGCGATGATCGTCCTTTGCCTTGTGGCTTCGCCGAAGGGATTCTAGAGCAGACTCAAAACACCAGATTCCAATTCAGTTGTCTTGAAAGCTTTTGCAGAGTATGAATGACACTAGTGTGTTAGATTCTGTTAGATAGTCAGCAGCAAGGCTTTCGATCTGGATTGGGCTGGCTTTCAGGTCGTTTGCATCAAGAGGGACCTCAACACCCTGATGCAGAAGCTGGACACACAGGCCACGGATTAGAGCCTGGGATCTGCTGAGCCCGCAATGCGCCTGGGATTTGTGGCACTGTGATGCGAGTGTTGCAGGTGGAGGAAATGACGCACATAAAGAAGAAAATCACCAGAGCCGACTGATTCTGAGAGATGAGGCCCCTGAGCTGGGACAGTCGATAAACTGGATGTGATTGCACAACATATGAGATGCGGTCAAAATAAGCGTAGACCACTTTAGTAAGGGAGGGTCCAGTTGTGTTGAGAAAGTGCACCAAACCATGTAAAGCGATAGGCCCCCCAAAAACGATAACTTGTAACCTTATGAGAGTGCATTCAACTTGGTGTAAACCAAGCAAATATTGTTGTGTGCCTTCACGCGATGGGCAAAATTGATGAAGAAAATTCAACCTGCAGTGCCCACGTTTCTTGAAGTTGCCATACCATTTGTTGTGCAAGATGATTAAGCCGTTGCTTTCTGCAGGCAATTGTGTTTTTCTCCCGGGTCCCAAAGCAGCAGAACTAAACTCAACTAAACGCAACCAAATTCTGAATTAAATTAGACCATAGTTTTAAATCTAGTCCTAAACTCCGTTTACGGGCTTTACTTGAATTGGAATTTCGTATTCCTTTGTTTCCTTTTTCTTTGTCTTTCCTTCCTTTTTCCTTTTATTTTCCTATTGAATTCTGAATGGTTTTGAATCCAATTCTGCATTTATACTTTATTTTCCTTTTGTTTGATTTGTCCTTTCTTCTTCCTTCGTTTCCTTTTCTCGTTCTTTCCTTCCTTTTTCCTTTATTTTTTCAATGTCCTTTTTGTTCCACTTTCCTTTTTCTTTTCCTTTCTTGATCATCAAGGTGTTCTAATTTAGCGATAACCTAGCGATGACCTTTTGTTGAAAAAGGAACCCCGGACGAGGGATAGACTCATGTGATCCCAACAAGAAGAACAACCCTAGGCCATCAGGTTGTTTTGAGACTTGGGGAGCCTGATGCACGTCTTCATAGCTACGAACGCTTCTTTGTTGGAACTATGAGGTCCCATCTTCAATTTTACAGCTTTTGAGCGGGGAAGCGTGGCGTTTTCTGACGCCATGGCTTATCAAAGAGGACAATTGCGAGGTGACCCTTTTTCGTTTTCATTAGTGAACTTATAACTGTTGGGAACCATTAAGTTCAGAGTTGAGTTTGTAATAAATGTCCTTCCTTAGAAAAGAGTCTAGGAATGTTCTTAAATAGCTCCCCAACATGGTTGCAAACGCAAAGACAACGAGCGCCGCCTCTTAATTCATTCCAAGCAGTTTAGAGATCTGCATCCGTGAAGCCAATTCCGCTGCATTTTTGCATTATCTTAGTGTTGATTTGAACAAAAAAGACTGTAAAGCGATAGGCCCCCCCAAAAAACGATAACCGATAACCTATATTTTCTACCAAGCATCAACAATTGATTTTGACGGCGGCTCATATATCCATTCACTCATTGATTGATGAGGACGGCCCTTTTAGCCGACAGTGCATGCCCTCTGCATCGAACCAAGGTCAGGCGCCTGAGGCAAATCTTGAAAATCTACAATGGCTTGGTGAATTCCCAGTCCGATCCAGTCCGTGTTTATTGGCTGTCTTTTCACGAAGTGACAAAGACGCAGATCCACTCCGAGCAACTGGACACTGCAAATCTTTTGAGAGTCTTCTAGAGACCATACGGTCCTTGACAACTTTCAATTAGAGTGTTTGCCTAGTCTCACTTTTCCAGATTTTCTGCATTGCTAGAAATTTCTGAAGCCCCACACATCTCCACTGCTCATAAATCATATTCCGTTCGCATTGGTTGTTTGATGTTTGGAAATTGCATTTGTTTTGCAACCCCTCATCAAGCTGTGGGAGCTCAAGAGTCACGAACACATCGAGCACCTAGGCTGAGGGTGTGCTCTGGTTGTCGAGTATGCAAATCCATTTGCTTTGGAACCAACTTTCTATCAGTTGTGGCTCACTGAAAGATACGAGTGAATCACCTGCGTCAGAAGAATAGTCTCGAAATGTCCTGAAACATTCGAATCTTCGCAGTTGAACCTTCTTTGCACAAACTCTACAACACCGGTGCCTCGACTTGGACTCGTGTTTGAATACTTTCGTCAGATGAATGAAGGAGCATCAAGACCCTTGTGCCGTGTGCTGCATGCCACGAGAAAAAACATTCCTCGAATGATGAGAATATGTTCAAGCTTGCAGTCAAAACAATTGACCATGTGCTTTTCAAACATCCGTTTTCCTTGCGTTCTCTTTGTAGAACGATTTTGAAAGCATGCCTGGGTTACCCAACTGTTATAGTCAAATTGTTTGCTGCGAATTTGTACTTGAGACAATTCAATTCCCGCAGAATGGTTGTGGTGCCCACGCAAAGTGTGGGCTCAAATA